TTTTTTTTTTTTTTTTTTTTTTTACGAGGAGTTGGCGAGAAAAAGTAGGAAATTATTATCACTTGTCAATCTGATTATACGTTATTAAATCTCGCATAATAATCGCCGAGGAAAGTAGTGGACCAGAGTTGTGTCGATATATTTCACTTCAGTTTGCAGAAACTATCGTTACAACGTGGCACCAAACAGTGAAAATATTTTCCATTGGTTGATTAGTTCTTTTGCAAACGAGTACTTAGTGGATGATTAAATGGAAATTTTAATTTTATTTTACTTTACGATAAAACATCACATCTCTTTTGTAGACATAAAGTGTACGAATTTTCTTCGAATAAAATGGTACAATCTTAATATTTAATCTATTAAATAATATTAATATTCAATTAATATCTGCACAAAATACTTAAAAAAAAAATGAAACGTTAAAGTAACGAGAAAACAGGAAAACAAAAGTCTCGATAGTTATGTCATATCAAGCTTATCCCGATTCGAAACACAATATTACAGGTACGTTCTTATCTGAGAGCAAAATGATCCGAGAAAATTTTAATATTCGAGATATTGGAAGAAGGAAACTGGTCCTGAACGAAGAAGGAAACAACGAGTCACGGTAACTATATAACAAATAGATTGTATTTGCATAATATCGCGAATTTTCTCAAAAAAATCACAGTTATAAGCGCGTATCGAAGCCATAAAATTAAACTGCGAGAGTTCAAATACGAACGGATAGGGGAGAGGGGAGAGAAGGTTCAGATAGTTATCGAGGATTGACGGAAATGTAAATAAAAATGCGAAAGAGCGAGAGTGCAACAAGTTCATCGAGATATCGTGATATTTTTAATTTATTTTTCTTTTTTAAACGTTATTAAACAAATAAGAAAAAAAATAATGTGGAAAAATGCGAGCAAATTCTCCGCAACATCCGATCCTACTCGTGATCGATGATAATAACATTGGTCGATTAACTATTTCGATATTTGATATTATTTGTTAATATTACGAGTAAATCTTTGGCGCGCGAAGTGAATGAAATTCAGAGTGGAAATATGGGCGCAGAAATTTGAGAGAGTGTTTGTAACTTGTACTAGAAATTACAAGGCAAATGGTTAACTGAATTCACGGAAGTTCGATTCGCGTAGAATTGAAATCGCGTTACGAATCCCCCTATCCAACTAACTAAAAGTTTCACGCACGCGTTAATTGCACGTTATTCCTTGATGCGATTATTACACGACGAAGAATTATCGATTTATTCTCACTGGCCAGTTTTAAACCCGCCAGCGATTTACACGGTGTGTCGTAGAGAACACGATGCGTGCAATATTCGATGAGCAAATATAAAATATTTTTGATAAAATTGTTTATTAATGTAGAAATAAAAGATTTAATTTAATTTGAAGATCGAATGTAACTTTTCAAAATCCGCGAATTTAATTATTTTAAACAAATTTGCAATCACATCGCTCTCTGTTTTTTTTTTTTTTTAAATTTTAAAAAACCCTCGCGATAAAATTTAGGGGACAGAGAATGTGAGAATCTCTCTTTCCTTCCCTGTAAAAGTACGGAATTCGACAAATAATAATAAAAAAACAGAAGCAACGAAGAGACACGATGTAACGAGCGTTATCTCGGAAGCGTGGAATAACTTTATGGTGAACCAAGAGGTCCTCGCGAAAACGGGATGGCGTGGATAAAGAACTTGTTAAATAAAAAGTAAATAAAGCGCGTCTTCTTATCGTTTCGCGGTTCGTGCATCGTAACGGAGAAATCGTAACGAGGGTGGAAAAAAGAAGGAAGAAGAAGTTGGCACGTTGCGCGTAATCAACTTTTCCGAAAAAAAAAAAAAAAAGAAGAAGAAGAAGAAGAAGAAAAAGAAAAGGAAAAAGGAAAAAGGAATTCGTGCTTCGTGGAATTACAGCAAGTGCCCCGTTTCTTTCGTTCGCTTAGATTTTTCCTGTGCTGCGCGCGAGAACCAGTCCTTTTTTTCTCCACCCTCTCTCTCTCTCTCTCTCTCTCTCGCGATTCCATCGAAGAAATAAATCGAATCCCGGGGAACCACGTTGCGGCGTGACCGCAACGATATACACTAATTTTCTGGAAAAACGATGGCTGGTTAAAATCGCAGACCACGAACGATAGAATTTATATTTTTCGATCGAGACGAGATTCGCGCCACGACAGACGATAAAGATACACGTTTATTTATTTCGTTTATTTATCACGAGATACAATTTTCGAAATTACGAAACGAAAATTAAACTCCGGAAAAGCTTCTTTCCCCAAGAGGCTTAAACTAAAAAAAATTCCCCTAAAAGAGAAAGAAAGAAAGAAAGAAAGAAAGAAAGAAAAAGAGTCTCATCCCCGAATAACGTGTATCGAAATCATCATCAAGCATCGACGCGATTCCGATATATAACCGAATACCAATTCCAATTCCAATCATCCTCGAAAATAGTTTTCGAAATAATCAACGTGGCCATCGATTGCCACGCTAATTACAATCGAATCTTTCGTCTGGAGGGACGCAAAAAAAAAAAAAAAAAAAAATTAAAAAGAAAAAAAAAACGACCTCTCAACCATTAACCGTTCGCGCGCCTTCTCCCCTCCCCTCCCCCATCTGGTGGCAACGGCGACGCGCACAACACCGGACCGCTTTGGACCTAATAAGCTCAACAATTCCCCGGACGGGCAGCCGAGGTATCTAACTAGCCTGGCGCACACCGCACCAGGAACAATGGCCCGCTGTGGTTACTGACACGCGGCCCGCGTGAACCGGTCCAAGCTAGTTCGGCCGACAGCCCATTGACAGAGATATAATTAATGCGACACATATCCGCCGGTTGAATAGAGGCGCACGATGGAGGCTGACGCGTATATTCCAGCGTGAAAGCGTCCCCCATCGGCCGGCCGAATAGAGAGAGAGAGAAAGAGAGAATCGGATAGAGAAGGAGAGGAGGTTGGGCTCAATAAACGGGCCATCGGGAGCGGCTTTCAACCCTTGACAATTCCTTCCACCGTTGGCGGTGGCCGTAAAAGATTATTGGCCAGGGTGGAAAAAAAATTCGTGGAAATTCGGTGAACCCTTCGGTCGGATTCAATCGACTGCGACGAACGCAATCATCGATCATGGGGGGTGGGGGTGGGGGGCCGGCCGCGTTCTCGTAAAAATCGGACCTCGAAGAATATTGTTGGGGAATAGGACGATGTGGTGAGGGGAAGGTTTCAGGGAAGGTATGCGGAAGATCTCTCTGTTGATTCTCTTTTTTTTCTTTTTACAACGAGGGTTGTAAGATGTTCCTTACGCGGGGATGAATGGGGAATGTCGCGCTGACAAGGGTAAACGTTAGTGGAGGACTTGTTAGCGATGTAAAATGTGTTAATTTTCGCGTTGCAAGGGTGTGAGATCGGTTTTTAGGGAGATTGGCGAGGATGTTGGGGTGAAATGGGATTTTATGGGACGTTATACATATATATTTGTTTTCTGGAAATGAATTGGTGTGCGAAAAGAGTGGCCTTTGTCTCGTGTGTGAATTTTTATGAAACTTGACACGATTATCTTTCATAAAAATATATTTCGGACAATATTGATTTCTCTGTGTAATTTCTTAATTGATCTGAATACATATTCGATTATATGTAAGGATCTATAAAGTTTCGTTTACAAACGTGTAATTATCGGTTCTCTCCAAGTTAAATCAAAAATAATCGTGAATCATTGAACAGCTTTCGAATGATTGTCTTGGGAAGTTGGTGTACCACGATAGAAACTTGGTACGAGACAAGGATTCGAAGTTTCCAAGCGAATGGTTAAACACGTTGATCGCGTGTCCGTTAATGATTAAGAGCAAAAACGGGAAGATGTGATCGGAAGATGGACGAATGATAAACGTGTTAAACGAGAAAAAAAGATATCTTTGGGAAAATGTCTCGAGAAACTTTCCTCGGGACAGGAAAATTACGATTTTTGCTCTTGTTATCGCGGTAATTAGCGTCGAAGAGAGTTTCCAGGAGGAGGAAAACGGTGCCGTTTAAAAATTTCAAAAGGCAAACGAGCTTCTTGTGATCTTCCTCTCTTTGACGACACCCTGAGAGAAAAATTGAGAGATATTCCGTAAATAGTACATTTGAAAACTTAAAGAGCGCCTTGAATGTCAAATTATCAGCTTGATACAAATATTTATCGTCTCTTTGGCGATGAAGTCAATTTTTAGATGGGGAATTAATGATTTGATCCACTCTCGCTTTCTCAAAAGTCTTCCCAGATATTGCTCAACTTCTCTTATTTACAAAGCGCAAAGTGATTCTGTAAAATGAAATTCGTATCATCGGCCATCAAAGTAAATTCATCAGCTCGAAATAACTCCGTTTAATGTTCTAAAAACCAGGACGCTGAATTCATGAAAGTGGCAAGGAATCTTTTATGCATCAAAGGAAACAGAGATTTTTCCATAACCAATAAATAGTTTCATTTAACATTAACAGCAAATTGTAGATTATAATAAGATTATAATTGATCTTTAAAAAATCGATGTATCTTGTGTGTCTTCCATCTATTCGCCATTTTTGAAACAACAATTCCAAATTAGAAAAATTACACCACCATCCACGAAGTTAGAGACGGTAATAAGATGAGACGAATTCATCACAAGTAGAAGATCTAACCCCTACTTGATCTAACCTCGTCTAAAAAACTTTACTATTAATTAATCATTAATTCAACATATATCCTCAAGCATTCTTTGCAAAAGGTTTTACGAAAAAATTCAATTTTATCCACCAAGGAAGCAATTATTTAATGTAATCGAATACCAAAAAAAAGAAAAGAAAGAGAGAGAATCTGTCGCACAAACCTGAAGCCCATCGTCCAAAATTACCGTCCGAAGGGTGGTTTATTCGAGTATTATGGAAGGAAAACCAAAGATGGAGCCGTAATGTCACCGACGCTCGTTGCAGGAAACGCGCGTATCGATTTCGAGTGCAAGGCCGATGGCGCACCAAAGGTATCCTTACGAAGAGAGAAAAAAAAAGAAGAAAGCCGGTGGACGGTCGCTGGCTTCGCGAATGATTTACCCGAATAAAAAAAGAAACCGGGATAAAAAAAGACCACCCCGCGCGAATAAACTTTCACCACGGATCTCCCTCTAATAACCCAAAACGCCTCGACTTTCCTCAAAGAGAACGCATTTTTTTCTTAAATTAACTTTTCCTCCCATTCTAAACGATTGTCACGCTCGAACGAATTCTTTCATCTTAATCCGTGAAACTAAGGAGGAACACGAGGTGAAAAGAATTGTTTGAAGAAGTTTATTCAGATGAATGATAAATTATCATATGGATCCTGATTATAAACGCGAGTTTGAATATATCTCAATGCTAGTTCTTTACATTTGATAATAATATTTGAAAATAACGAGAGCAATTTGGTGGACATTTTTCGTTGGAAAATAAGGACGAGTATAATATGAGGAGGGGATGTAGAATTCGATGAAACGCGACCAGAATTAGTGTAATATAAAATAATTTAAGATACACAGATCGAATGATTGAATTAATGCTTTCAGGTGAACGCAGGTTTTAGCGTATATATGTGTGCATATAGGCGCACGTGTCCATTCATAAGAGGCCGTTGCGCGCACATTGTAAGAGCAGAAGCTCGTTTCTCCATTGTGAAGAGGCCGATCGTTATCGCGGAGACGTATCCGTGTCGAGGTTGTCCATAGATTCATCGTGATCCTCCATCGATATCTTAACGCATTGCGTATATCCTCGAACTCTTCCTCATACCGATCGTTTCTCGTTTACTTGATATCGAAGCATATTTTATTTTTGTTGCACGGAATTAAAATTGCTCTTGTTATTCTTAACACGATAATACTTAACGTTATTATATTTTATTAAAGGATTAAGTTAGTTAATTAAGTTTATCTTGTTTCTTGAGATAATTTATGCAATTTAATTCCATTTGTAAATTTTATTATTAAATACTTGCGTTAATGAGAGACACGTGAAAATTTTGTATAAAATAAAATAAAATAACAATAAAATATCCCGTATTCCGATTCATCCTGGTATTTATTAAATTTTATATTAACATCACGGATAACGGATTTTCAAGAAACTCGTACTATAAATATTTAAATATGAAAACGTATAATCTTTCATTAAAATTTATTATCACGTGATTAAAAATACATCTGCATATTACCGAGCACTAGGCCAGGTGGTTAAAAAGAAAAAATTCGAAAAATTTAAGAAAATTAATTTGCATCCACACGAAACAATTAGAGATAATCTCAAACGAGCATCGATCTTTTTGTTTTGTCGCGCAAATCCGAATTTTTCGACGAAGGAAATAATAGAGATCGAT